AATACATATTGAAATACAAAACATGAAAAAACCTCCATATTTTTGTTTCCTATTTATTCTTTATGAAATTAATTTCACACTTACATTAGTAATGAATCTTCCATAGCATACTTTCAATAAAATGTTTCGTTACGAGGGGAATACTAAAAGTACGTTCTTATAAAATATCAATTATATCAGCACATTGTGACATATCATTGAAAAGGTAATTCTACAGGGTGATTCAAAAGTATTTTGACAAACGTCAGAAGGTGATTCCTCACAATATTCTAATATGAATTGTCCAAATAAATAAATGTCCGGAAACGCTTCGTTTCCAAGATACAGGATATAACAAACATTTTTTCTCTTTTTCTCAATTTTTCTTCCTTCTCGAGTTATACGAGGAGAACCAAAAATGCTGTTTTTCGTTTTTTCTGAATGGAATTGTTATTTCGGTGAATATCAAAAAATGGAAAAGAAAAATGTTATCGTATTCGAAGTGTACTAATGACGATGTAATAATAAATATTCGATAAAACATTGTTTCTCATAAATATCAGTGAAGCAATAGAAATTATTCTGCTTTTTTTTGTTGTCCACAAAACGAAGAACAAATTGAGTTTTTATCTGAATTACTAAAGTAGTGTCACTCTTAGCACAAAACTCACAAACTCATGAGCAGAATATCATGAAATTTCAACAGCTTCCTTTTGAAGGTTGGTACCAACTATGTGTTAGCGCCACCTATGTGTAGGCCCGAGACTTTTTAACCCAGGTAGTATATGAATCAAGAAACATTCATGCATTGCATGTAAATAAACAACGTAGCTTTTTAAACAGGCATATATATCTACTACAACTATTGAAACAGGATAGAAGAAATTATCAAAATTCATTTCAAGTAGCATGTCACTAATGTCGCTCTAAATAAGCCTTGGGGTACATTCATAGAGAAAAAGTCTACAGGACACCAGACTTTCAGATGCTTTCAAAAGTAGAAGAATAGCAATGGAAAGAGTCCAATATATATTCTCAATGTCGACTAAAGTTTGAAAGATATATATCTCACCAAAAAATCAACAAAATAGATTTTTTCTGAATAGTAAAGAGTTATTACCTATATTATTTCCAATAGTAAAGAGTATTCTTTAGTATCTTTGACAGTTCAGGAAATATAGAGATAAACAGGCAATAATTTCAATTTTCAATCGTAAATAGTATAAAAAGAGCAATATGAAAATTTTTTTCACAGCTTTGAAAGTTAAAGAGAATTCGAAGTAGGTATTTTCTGTAATTTTAATAGTTCATGAAAAAATCCCGTGACACTTTTAACCAAGTTGGCATCATCATGAGATGATAAGAAGGATACGTGAACACAGTGTTTCCGTATTGTAAATTTGATGAAAGATCTTTAAAGAGCATAAAATTTGCAGAAAAAAATGTCTACCTCTTGGAACTGATTCAATTCAATTTCAATTCAGCGGGGAAAAGAGAAATAAAAACAAGTCTTAAAAATTCATTTCNGATCTCTCGTGCAAAGTCTTTAAAAATATCTAAAAAAGCGGAAAAATTCTAAGCTCCAATTATACAACTTATCAGTCTTTATGTTAACCTTCATCTTGAAAAAACACTAACAGAAGACCAGTTGAAAGAAAAATTGCAATAAAAATCATTATTGTCCAGCAAGTACATATTTTTTTCATTTCTTGATAAACATACAAAGTATGTAATGGATTGAAGTGATTTTTTTGTTAGAGCGCCCAAGCCAAACAAAAGTGACTAAATTGTGTCAGTAGACATAGATCCAGATGAAACGAAAATAACTGATTTCATAGTACAATTCCATAATGTAGGCACTAAATTCTCAGAAATATTATTGCATTTAAACGAAGATATTGTTGTCAAGGTTGTAATTCTATATATTTCATCATCATTTTTCCTCATCTGTTTAGTGTAATTTCCGTACGCCACTGCAAAAGACAGATTAAGACAAAGACTTCAGTCATTTCTGGGAATGTATTGCCTACTATTTTGGAATTAGAGTATTATTGAATAGAACTGGCCGATACTTGATGAAAATCTATTTTTAAACTGATTAATACAGTTTATTGTATGATGTCCCCTAAAAAAAGGGTGTTACAAAAACCGCGACACGTGTTTTGCTATACAATAGCTTTCTCAAGCGTAAGAGTTTACGCTTGACACGTGTTTCGCTATTGTATAACTTCCACGAGCGTAAGAGAGTATGCGAAACACTTGTCGCAATTTTTGTGAAAGCCTTTTATAGTGAAAATCATACAATAAACTGTATTTATTAGTTTTGTTTATAGTATATTTGAGCCGAATGCCGAAAAAAATTAATTTGGATTGTATTTTATAATAACATGACATTCTTCATTTACAGGGTTTGGTTGAAGAGTAGATGAGTATATGTATAGCTGTGGAGGTTTTTTTTCAATAAATATTGGAGACGAGGTCGCACAGTACGTATTTTTATAGTTGGCGATGACTTTGAATTAGGACAGTGATAATAATTGTATAGTATTAGTTATCGTCAATATGGCAAAAGTATTGTATACACAGCTTGTACTGTGTTGAAATTTTGAATATCTACAATTTTTTCTGAGATATTCACAAAAAAAGAACACCCCTTATTGCGTTCAACTAAATTGTTCATAACTTTTGAACTATTTGTTTGCACAACATGCCGTGAAGACTAAGACTAGAATGAATATGAATTTATTTAACTTTCAGTACAAGGATCAGTCAATAACAATTTGAACTATCTGAACAAATGCAGGAAACCCACAAAGGACACTCTGTGCGTGGGTATTACTGTTTTATTCACGATATTCACATTATAAATCAGAATAGTGAGAGTAAAATGGATTTGACAATTCAAGTTATGAAAACGTGAAGATGTGGAAATCTTAAATGTTAGAAATGGTAAAATGTAAAAATATAATCATGTAAGAATGTATAAAGGTAATATGTAGAAGTAAAATGCACAAAAAATAAAAATGATAAATGTTAAAATGAAAATGCAAACATCCAAAAAGTATAAAAATTGCAACAAATGTTAGGTTATGTGCTATTATTTGCCATGACAGTGAAAAATTTCACTTATTTCGAAAATATATTCATACATATTCATAAAATTTTACATAGTGTTTGCAGTATAACTACCAGCACCCACTTAACTTTTTCAGTATTCGATGGAATCAGCCGATACTTGATGAAAATTCATAACCCATTTAGAACTCACATTATTGTGAGATTTTCACTACACCGTTTACAAAACTTCAACACGTGTTAGCGCTATACACTAGCTTCATCGGGCTTGTCTAGTATATATACTGTATATTAAAAACTATATATACTATATAGAGACGCCTGAAGAAGCTATTGCATAGCGAAATACGTGTTGCGGTTTTGTAAATTGTGTAGCAAAAATCTCACATTGAAGTGTTTTTAGAATATCTACCTTTTTGAATTCAATTATGACTTATTATCTACATCCTGAGAAATATTGGTTTGACGTTTTGGAGAGCTTTTTACATACAACTCAACCGTATAAAATTGCATTATATCATGTCATAAAGATTGAGAGAATGAATAAAGAATACTAATTACCTGCCATAGCTAACGTCAAAGTAAATGTTCCTTATCACTACGCGCACTATTATAGCATGCAATGTTTCTCTTACTTGACTCTAGTCAGTCTTGTTATAACATATGAAATTTAATGAATGAGATATTTTTCGAAAATACATGTTCATACCAGGTCAAATTGGTTAGGTGGGAGAATTAACAAGGGGTAGGGGTGGATTATACAAATTTCGTATTTGAAAGTACCTAAATGGTGTACCTTCATGGAAAGCAAAATGAATTTCAACTGTATTATACAGAATTTAGGCATAATGACGGAATACTGCGAATTAATACAGTAAATCAACAAATAATAAACTTTCTAACATTTGATGATAGAGTGCAGCAAGAAAACAATTCAACTTAATTCGGATGAAACTTTTCAGGAAAGAAAGTTTTTGGCTTTCTATCACCCCTTTTTGTGGGAATCTTCCAAAATAAGAATGCAATCAATTTTAAAGGAAGTAATTCTATACATATATATGTGTAGATCGATCACCTTCTCTCCACTCAGTTTTTACTTCAAACATTCGTTGTGGAATTGAATCAGATATCATTCACAGGATTCCCACACAATATACTGAATGAAAGGTACAAATTTCTCTAACATGGAATACAAACTGGGTAGAGGAAAGTGTTTTTTGTATAATTCAGTGTTCATATAAAAGTATTTGTTTCGAAAAAAATTTCTATCATGTATTTCATGAAAGAAGCCATTTCAGGAGGGCTTTTTCTTCCAGTTTGCGTCTGAAGTTACATGCACATGCGCAAAGCTCCGACGTCGTTCGCAACACTTTTTTAGACCTACGAAGGGAACGAAATACAACTTGTTTGTGTGCTTGGATTATTTCATGAACTTGTTTGATTCTTCACCAATATAAATACTAATATTCTATTTTTACCACACCGAATGGGAAGTTTTCTAAATAAAATAAGTGAGAATTGATTGGTTTCTTGTGCTATATGTCAAAAAATGAAGCTGGACGGATTGAATCACTTTTTTGATTGACCAATTTCACTTTTTGACATCCACTCACAGCACATTCAATTAATTAGTTAACCAATCAATCATTCAAAAACTTTCATTCGCGAATGGGGAATGTTCCTCCTGACGAATCAAGTAGTTTTCATAAAAGAGATCTAAAACAACACATTTTAAACTTATAGTTTCAACCTTTTTCTTTAAAATATTATATAAATACTTGAAAGAGAAGAATGAAATAATACATTCAATATATAAGGGGATTCGTTTCTATTTCAGCATTTGGCAACATCGGTTATAGCTAATAAAGGACAATGAATCTGTTACCTGTATGAGACAAACAAAGATGACGTGCTGTTCTGTTTACTTATGTTCCTTATACCAACATTTTTAGATCTACATTCAAAACTATATTTCACCTGCTTAATTGACCTCTGACAAAGGTAGATGAACCATTAGTGTCATGTTCCTTGATATCTTTCTTATAGTCCTGATCATTCTTCTGGCTGGACAATGCAGACAATCTCTTAGTGAAATTGCTGAGAAATGGAGTCTCTTCTTTTGAGGGTAAACTTGATGAATACACTGGACTTTCATAAGCTGAAAAACATTGCCACATCAAAAATATTTTCAACTAAAAATTGCACCACTTACATGGCGTATTCAGACTCAACCTGGATCTGATTTCATTCAATTTATCAGAAGCATATTCTGAAGCCAAAGATGGTGAATTATATGTTGATACTCGACTAGGCGACGCATTAATATTGAATGAAACATTCCTTGTAGAACTGTAGGAAGTATCTGTTGATTTAGGAGGCGAGTATCTAACTGATGATGAGTTGGGAGATGTTACTGGTAAATTTTTGCTAAAATTAGATGTTCCCTTTATCAACTTATAATTGTTGACGATATCAGATTCAGATTCCGACCCTGTATCAAATTCATCTTGGCCAGATTTAATGATTTTCTGTGTCTTGGTTGTAGTTGTAGTTGTCGTTCTTGATTCATGTTTGACAGGACTTCTAGACAACTAAAAATACTTGGAATTATTTGTTGATTGCCCAATTTTCAATATACTTAACCTGGATTCCAACATTATTCTCAGGTTCTGGAGACTCATTGAAACGCGTACTTTTCCTAACTTTAACACCAACTGAAGGAGGCTGCATTATTGGAGCTGCCATGGTGATCCTTCTATTTTCCTTCTTCTTTGATACTTTTAGCTCCGAGTCACTATCTTCCTCACTAGAGTATCGACCCATAGACCTAAAAACAAAACATTTCAATTTTTGGTGAATGAAAAGAAAAATGTGGAGAATAAGGTTGATCCCCCAGTTTCTCAACTTTCAGTTCTCCTACAAGCAACCTCCCATCCACATCAAAGAGAGAAGTAGACAAAGGGCAGAGTTATCAATCTGAACAGGGTCCAATGAGACAGTTGTTCAGGCGGAAACCTAGGCCATTGATTTATGGGTAGTGAGAACGGCGGAAACCAACCTCATACAAAAATCAATAAAAATGATCTTGCATAGTCAAGCAGTTGTGGAAATACTTGGCTCTCATCGGGCACTGTCCAAAATGGTGTTGAAGTTCCAAAAAAAAACTCTTTTTAATAGTAAGAATAATAAAAATAATAAGCTATCAACTTCCTTATAACGGAAGTAATTTCATCAGACCAGAACCTGTCATAGACATGGCTTTAGGTTTTGCCATACAAATACTGAAATCTGGACTGGAAAAAAATTTTTCAGACTGCTGGCAAAATTGACCCCATTTCAAAGCATTGCTTAAGGTCACTAGCATCTGAATCATCATATGAAGAGATTTGGACTGCTAAAAGATATGTGCCATCTCTGTTTGGAAGATGATGAAATAGCCTGACTGATGTAAATCAGGTTAACAATTTTTGGGAGAGTCTCACTCTCGCCATAGAACTTGAAAATTCATTCACCAAAAAACGAATCCAATTCTTCAAGAAGCTGGACTCATTTAGAGGCATTTGAATTGATGTGAGTCACAATAAAACCTTTGCTTTATACATCATACTCCATATATTTTATACATTTACGTTTTATATATTTCATACATTTTACATCTATAGTATTTGGGTTAAGGTTTGGACGTGTCTATAAATTGTAAATTTTCTTGAGACAAGAATGAAATGAAATGCAGTTTGCACTGAAGGGTTGAACTCACCCTAACCTAAGAGCAGCCCTCACACATCTTTGAGAGACTTGTATTTTTGTGTCACAACAACTACTTTGATACAATGAATGGCATTCTTGAAAAAATATAAGAATATTCAAGTAACTCTTTAGTTTGAACACACTTGAGGAAGTTATTGTGAAGTGAAACATGTGTTGCGGTTTTTGTGAAGTATTCAGTGAAAATCTCACCATAAAATGTTACTTGAATACAAAATTATTACTAAGCGTCTTCAGGAGATTTATGTGAGTCACGTGATTATCTACAATAACATGCAATTTCATATATTTGAATTATAAAGCTACTTCTCCAAGAAAATTTCATACAAATTTGTTACCTCACTAAATAAGATAAACTTCTCACTTTTCTTAGTCAGTTTGATATTTTGTTAAGAAAAAATATATTTTTTCATTTTCTGGTTGGTTCATAAATCAATTTAAATCTTTGAGCACAGTGTCTCGATTAATAACCATGGGAGCATTCACACACCACACTTCTAATGTTACCGTAATGAAAATTAATACTTTTTTTTTGGTAGAACTGTGTATAAACTACCCTAAAAATAAATATTCATTTTAACGGTTCATGCTGGTTAAAAAAACTTTTATAAGATGCCCATTTTTATCTGTTGATCACAAATATTAAGTCAAAACTTGGCACATCAGTCAACATTCCGAGAATGTTAAAAAATCTACAATTTAGTGGACTCAGTTCTGGTAATAAAAACTCATAAGAGACAGCTTCTTTTCACTATGCTGAAGACCTTCACTCACCCATTTCATGTATTTTCACATAATGAAAAACTTATGGAAACATGTTCTAAGTGATATCGATGATTCACTTTTTTTATTTTTTAGTAGTATAACTAAAAAAGTATCCGTCAAGAAATTTTACTAAGCTTTGCCCTAAAACAACGTACATGTTTTGTTTATTCCCACACTTTAACCACAACTTCTCGATCAAACCTTCTTTAAAATGAAATACTACACAATCTACATTTGCGGAAGGCACATTCTGTTTACTTTGCTAAAATTGATTCCCATTTACTTCATGAAGTTTGCTTCTGGTGAAATTGTAGGCAATATCTTTTCAATATGGTATCGTCCTTACAAAAAAAGGCCAGCAGATATTTAGGGATAGCAGTTATAGGTCTTTTAATTTTGGAAACAGTGTGTTTTATCCACAAATTGTATAAAATTCAAATTGATACTACTTCAATATTTACACTACACTTATACAAAATTCGATCATCTTCAAAAGTGAGAAGTTATTTAATTATCTTCATATTAACTCAAGTCGAATACAGAATGAAAAAAGGTTTAGAAATAAGGTAAAAAATTCTTGTTTGCGAGAGCCTATCTTTAAAATTGCCTAACCTAATTCTATGATAATCTTAATTAAGTTCAACCAATTTCAATGAAATGAATAAAATCACTTTTGTTTAATTTCCACTAGTTTTGACAAGTGTTCTCATTCATTTCATTAAAGTGATCATGAATTTCCATAAAATAAACAAATCATCAATTGCACAAGTTCAACTAACTGTAATAGTTATGAAAGTTTATTTGCTGTATTTCAATATTTTGTTGGCGTTTTTAAAATGGTTACATTTTTTTCTATTGCTTTTACATGTATTCATTTTACCTGTATGTATTAAAAACCTTCTTGTATTTTTTATTTATATTTTCTGCAATTCTTTCTCAATAAGAAATACATTCTAGAGACAATAAAGTGTAATTTAATTGAATGACAAAAAAGAAGGTGGCATTCCTGATCTGAAATCTGAAGCCCTAAAAGCAAGTATTATTATACAAATCCAAAAAGGTACAAACACAACTGAACCAAGTGAATTTCAACCAAGTAAAATAATGCCTCTATTAGAAAAACTACTTGACTTAACTGTATATGAACAATTGATGAATCATGTTTTGAAAAATCATATAGTGATGAATAATCCACCAGGATTTAGACCTAAATATTCATGTGAATTTTCATTCCAGTTAATGAGCTAGATCACCATAAATATATTGTATGTGTATTCTTGGATCTTAAACGAGCTTTTGAAGCGACTGACAGAAAATTTTTACCAACGAAATTATCTTGATAAGGTGTTGGAGACGAAGTAGATGGATGAATAATAACTATATAATCGAAAACAAAACATTATAAACGGTTTACATCATCAGATATTAGTATTGATTCAGGAATGCCATAGGATATCTCCGTATTTTTTGTATTTGAATGATACTGATGTAATCAAGTGTGAGTTCATCAACCTTTTTACCTATGATACTATGTTAGAATGCAGCGATGTAAATTTAGAAATAGCTATTCAAAAAATTAATATAAGTTTGATGTGTGTCAATAAGTATCTCCAAATTAATAAATTGAAACCAAATGTGTCCACAACCAAAGATATGATATTTACAAATAAATTCCAGTATAGATATAACTCACTTGACATTGAAAATGTTAATTTGAATATAAATAGTAAAAAATTGAAATAGTTCACAATGTAAAATATTTAGTTTTCCAACTGGATAACTTTCTGTTTGAAGGTGGTTGACGATGTTTCATGGTGCATTTCATTAGTTCCGACTTCCATTGTCTAATATGATATAAAATGATTTGAAATCCCTGAGAGAATCAATAAAATTAAACAGATTAGCTGAGAAACTGACAATTGCATCAAGCAAAAAAAAACTGAAATTACAAAGAAATAAAATACAAGCAACAATTGAAAATTAAACTATTAACAAGAAATGATAATTAGAGTTGAAAGATTTCAAGCAAAGTTACTTCACGACGTTTCGATTGTTAGTATCCACAATCATCTTCGGGTGATGACTGGACTTATTCCTCCGAAAGATGACTATTTATAGGTCATTCGAGTGCTTTCACCTGACCGTTTGGCGAGAGCTACCGCTAAACCAGTGAAGAGAGAAATGGGAAGAGTTGAAAAGTGAAAGCACTCAAATAAATGACCTAAAAATAGTCATCTCTCGGAGGAATAAGTCCAGTCATCACCCGAAGACGATCGTAGATACTAACAATTGAAACGTCGAGAATTAACTTTGCTTGAAATCTTTTAATTTTTAATTTCTATTTCTTGTTGATTGTTCAATTTTCATTTGTTGCTTGTATTTTATTAGAAATAGCTATTCAAAAAATTAATATAAGTTTGATGTGTGTCAATAAGTATCTCCAAATTAATAAACTGAAACCAAATGTGTCCACAACCAAAGCTATGATATTTACAAATAAATTCCTGTTTTTTGAGAAAATCACAAAATTTAACCGAATCTCGAATAACTATATAAGACAATTATTCAGCAGTATTTTGAGTATTCCTCATCAGTAAGTATTATTTTGATTCACTACATATGAAATAAATGATCTACAAAATCGAGGTATGAGAATAATTTTACAAATGAATCGCTCAACTTCCATCTACTTCATGAAGGACTCAGTTATCACTTTCCAAACAGCTATACAATCGTACAATAATTTATATCTACAAAATACTGAATAAAGATATGGTAACAATTTATATATCAAGAACTACCACTCAAGGGTTTTTGTGTCACATTGAAATGTTTTTAGATTGTTTTGTTTGATACAATGAATGACATTCTTGAAAAAATATAAGTTGATAATAATTATTCAAAAACTTGCAGTAGTACTTGAAACGAATATTGAACAATAGTCGGTATGATATTTGTCTATGTCTATAAACCAAAATTTGAGATTACTATAAATTCCCCAGCTTATTCCATATAAAAATAATTTACAAACCTTCTGGTTCCTTCTGAGCCTATTTTATTCTTATTTTCAAGAAGCATTTTCAGCTTTTTTGCCATAACCTTTCTTGTTGTCCCAGTTATAGGCATAACTGGAAATCCAAACTCCAAGAGTTTTGTACGCAATTCTGCATCAGAAAGCTTATCGACGTCCATCTACAAAAAAGGTGATTCTTTCAAACACAATCATTTCATAATATTGAGGAAAGGGCCAACTTGAATACATCTTTTGGAATCAATGAAAGCACAGCTTCTTGGTTCAATAGCCCCACTGCCTCATACATATGATTTTTAGTTTTTGAAATATTTCATTTCAGGTTTAATAGAACAAGTAATGGAGATACTAGCTCAATAAAATCGAAAAAATTATAACTGCCTCAATGTTGGCAGTCTATATCTTACCTTGTATTATTGTTCAGATTTTTATTCTATTGATATGTTAAATTTATTTTATTTCACATTTGGGAACAAAATGTATCTCCTCAGCCCTGTGAATCTTGACCTTGGCCTGAAAATAATAACTACCAATAATAATGGTTTAATAGTAATACCTCATAGTTGAATGAAGCTTAACTTACCCAATATTACAGAAAAAATCGTGGTAATAGTGATATCTGCAATATTTTGCAATGTTCTAAAATGATATAAAATCCAAGCACATTCCCAACGTACACAGCAAATTCCTTAAATAGAAATGACGTTATAACAAGATGGCGCAGAAAGCGCGGCTTTCTAGGATACGAGACTTTTATCAATACATGAAAACGAAATTTCCGTCTGAGACCAATAGTATTTGAAAAATGGAAACTAAATTGAAATACAAAATCGCTTTAAATTTTGAAAATGCTAAAAAACCATGGATTTTTTTTAGCGTTTTCCAATCAGTGCATATAGAGTTTTTGTCTGTACTCTATTTCTCAATACATCAATTAAGGATAGAAATATACTAAATGTGCTTCGGTTTCCCCAATGGAAAACACTGGGAATTAGTGGGTTGTATGTTGAATAGAAATAAACAGAGTAAAAAAATGTTGCATTTTAGATGTCAGTTCCGTCACAGATTAATCTGTGGTTCCGCCAAAAACTAATGCATGCGTCGGACAAGTTCCAGAGGTTAAAACCTTTGAACCTAACCTCTGAATGATTATGGCATTTGTCTGACAGTTCTTATTGTTTTCTGTATTAATTCCTTCAATTCAATCGAGTATATATTTTATTAATTTGACATATATAATAATACACCGTCTAGTCACAGATAAAATCGTCTGTGACCTAATTTAATGAAAAGGCGTTTTTACGCTACATTCATCTTTACGCTCTTCTTTTTTGTCCTCAATGCATCTTTGTTCGATCAAAATACGTCGAGCAGAGACAGTGAATTACTTTTTGGCGGGAATATCATCATGGAATGAGATTAGTGAGACGAAAACGCGACTGAAGGGGCTTTCACAGAGCTTTGACTGGAAGTTTAATATTGAATTGGTCGTAAGGCCAATCCAATATGAAACTTTTCCTCAATTACTTCTAGGTGAGTAAACGTTTTTTATTGGCCGTATACACGGGAGTTATAGTACCAAAATCAACAAGTCTTCATAAATTTTCAAATGGTAAATCTCTTGAAATATTTATGATAACCAATGAATTAGTGCTTTAAGCATCAATTACGGCAAACAAAATTCCAAAATAATTTTATGAACCTATTTGAAATGAAGAAATCTTCATCTGTCGGCTCTAATACACTCATAAAAAATTATTTTGCCAATGTAGATCACACAAACTTTAGCCTGGAAGTTAGGGCTCTGTTTCAATTGTATATTCAGTATCGTCTACGTTTTCGAGGTTTTTCATATTGTATAGGTATCCCAAAAACTAGAATTGTTTGAAAAATAGTTAAAATGTACCTATGTGAAATAAACTTCCAAATAATGATAACATTTTCCATAACAATTTACACGAAAGTGATCATTTGTAACTAAATGCGCCGTACGGAAGCAAAAGCCAAGAAAACCTAGAGAGAGAGAAGTGATCATTTGTTTCAAGATAGATTTTCTTCTTATCGTCGCCACTAGAGAACGACATCAACGACAGTAAAAACAAATATATTATTCTGCTTTGGCAATATGTAAGTTTTCTACAGCTGCCGGACGAATCATGGCCAGTGAGCCTGGTTTTTATACAGGGTGTAACTAAATAAGCGTAAAACATTTAAGGAGGTGATTCCTCATCGGAAAAAAGATAGGATCTTTCATATAAAGAAACTTCATTGGAGCATTCCTTGTTAAGATACAGCCCCTTAAAGGAGGTCCATAAAATTTGAATAACAATGTTTTTCACAAGCACTAAAAAAGTTACAGTATTGAAATTAACCTGACGTTTTGTACTACCAAAATGACACTTAGCCAGAAATGTATTTGATTTACCCGATGGTTGTAAGGGGTGGAAAACGCAACCCCTAAAATTTATTTCCAATGTAACTTTTTCTGTTTCATTCTAAACGAAAAATGTTTCTTGGGTTTTTTGACCAAAATAAACCAGTTACTTTAATAATTCACTTGTTATTAAAATGGCATACACAAATGAGGAATGGCTGATATGCATTACGTTTAAGATCTGTCGCAGGGGAATGGGTTAGAANCTTTTATTGTTTATATACATATCACTAAAACCTCACGACATACTAAAGCTGGTACGAACAATATTGTTTTTAAAATAGAACACTTTCGCACTTGGGCGACGCAACCAAGATGTTTTTTGTTGTCCAACCAGCATTAGTAGAATAACTAGGTACTATTATTTATACCTGAAACATGAAGGATAATATTGACAGTATCAACAATTTTAACGAATAATTTTTGATTTCGCTTCTTTCATTCCTAAGATTCTATCGATTGAGACGGAATAAAAAGTAGCAACTGGAATAGAAGTCGGAAAGAGCATAAAAACGACAGGAATGGTATTACCGGTGTTGAAACTGTACCCAAAAACCGTTAATATACAGACATGACACCAGTTATTCACTAGTTTCATCAAAATGATTCGCTATTAATCTAGTTTGAATTATTCTGTTAGTGCTCTGTGTCACCAAGCAGAGTGAATAGTGAATTTCATACCTGTATGGCTCATTATCACGTCAGCTGTAATTTTTTTTCAGTATAAAAAAATGACAACTCCAAAGTTGTTTTGTGTGATGACAACTTGAGTTAGAGTCTGCATTTCTGCAGGAGGTATAGGTTCTGTATTCTGTAATATTGAAGGCCCCATCATATCGATATATTGAGAGAAAGTGTTATGGATATTTTGGATAGTACCCAGTGCAGACCATGCAAAGTAATTTTTAGACACAAACTGGAAGGAAAAAAACCACAACTACTTCCATACAAACATAGAATGACAGGAAAGAAAAAATACTTTCGAAACAACTACTTTTACAATAACGTTGAATTATACATAGACTGACATCAATATACGCCGTATCTCACGTTTTCTAGGCCTTTTTCCGTCTTGAACTTTTTTGTACTTTATTATACTTCAGAGAATATTAGACAATCCATGTTTAAATTCCACTACATGCTCAGAACTTTTTCTGTAGTTTCTTCAGAATCCATATTCGTGTTGATTTCTACTGGACTGGACAGGAACGATTTTTTGCTTTTAAGGATTTGTGAATTGAAACGCCAGTTTCTCATTTCAAAGTTGACTTGAGAATGAATGTAAGCAAAATGTTTGTCAACCTCAATAACACTTTTCTCATCATCCATGGAATCTGATAAGTCATCTACCTCATGATTTTATATAATGGATTCGACAGCTCTCGGTAATCTCTCATGACATGTATCCGGATGTCTGTTAGGATCACCAACTTGCCAGAAGATATGTTGCGCATGTTGGTCCTCATTTCTTACTTCAATCCTCAAATACATTTCTTTTACATCAGCAATAAATCCAATTCTTCTCTCTCGAAATCTTAGTGTTATAAATAGTTTGAAAAAATAAATGAAAACTAACAAACGTTAATGGTCATTCCTAACATTTACTTTGTCATCCTCATTCATATTCTGTATAGCATTTGAGAATGATTTCTTTTATAAGTTCTCAAGATATCTCGAGTTATTGCAATAATCAAATGACTGATTATTATTAATCATCCTGTTGCCAATGGATTTGTCATAAAATTTGAAAACATTATCCAAGTCTGTCTCATATTCAACAGTAAATATGTCCAACCACTTTTGTTGTCAGCAGCATCCTTGATGACCAACAGCAGCATAGCCACTTTTAACTCATGACCACAAAATTAAACTATTGAAAACATTTTATGGAAATTTTTGTCAATTTAAATTGAAAGTGGAGTTCTACTTCTTTGCTGAATATTGAAGTGGTACAAAATTAGTAAATAAAATTTATTTTTTGTAAAATATCAACTTTGCAGAACATAAAACATCAGAAATACAGCTTCTAAAAGTAGATAAGTCAAGTAAGTTTATTAAGCGATGCTAAATTCACATTTATAATTGACCAATGGATGTCAAAAATATTTAAAATTGATCAATGAGTCCCCTGCTGAATTAGAGTAGAATACAAGAATAAACTTACTTGCTTTCACAAGAGATCAATCTATAGATGGAGAAGTACATTCATCATCACAATCATTTAACAAAATAATAAACAGGTCTAAGCTTGGCAAAAAACATCACTGGAGTTTATCAACATTAAATTAGCTCATTTTTATATTTTTGTGCAATTCCTGATCTTCCTTCTTGGGCTAATTCTGGTTCAGTTTGTCCCAAATTCTGCTCTAAACCCTTCCAAGATCTGTCTGCTAAGTATCCGGCACCATAACTAGTACTCAGAGATAAAGTACCATCACTTTTCAGAGCAACCTGACTACCTGCATCACTTTTAAGCAAAGTAGTCTCGTTGGAATTTATTCTAATCTTATTTGAAAGCAAACTCACGTCTCCAACTACTTCTTTAGAGTTTTCGAAGTTCTGTGTTTCAAACTTATCGTGTAAAAAGTGATTGAAGTCGTAAGAGAATTCTAAAGGTTTATCTTCATCGGCATTCAAGGCAACTTCAATGTCAAATGGGGTAGCAATTGGTTTGTAAAAATCTCGATTTTCATAAATCTCACTCATTGAACATGTTATTACTACATAAATATCCAGCTGAAAAAATAAACCATATTCAAATCACTGTTATGAAATATAAACATTGAGTAGAAAACACTTCATAGAAATGAAAATTATGATTGTGAAATCATAAACCTCATTAAAAAAAATTGATAACTACAATGTCCCATTATCAAATAAGACTACTGTACGAAATCACCTGATATATTTCAGTCTCCAGAAGTTGAATTTAATATCCTGTCACATCATTCATTGAATTCTTACCTCAGGAAAATTTGCGAGTTTGGCTACAGTTGGTTTTCCAACACTGATGAGATAATATTTTTTGCCTCTCAGGCTAATTAGTTTCTTCACTCGTTCAATAACTCTCAGGTAATTTTTCACTCCAAGGGTTCCAATGACAATTCCAATCGTTTGACTATCCTTTATTTTTTCTATCAAAAAATTTCTCTTCTTGAGAATTCTGGATCTTGCATCATATACTTTTAAATAACCATCATAATAATACAACACTTTTGCTGAAAATATCCCTAAGTATAATTGTTGAATAACAGTAACTGTTCGAATACTTACGATTGAAATTAAATTGAATATTTATTAGCTTTGTTTCATTTTTACCAAGAAATATAACAGTTTTTCCTTCTAAAAGTATGTCATGTTCATCTATTCTTTTGATATGAACATCATCATATTCTTTGAAGGCAATATTAATGTCATCTAAAAGAAATACAAGACCATAGTACTCAACAATAAAATTAATTAGACAATATTACCTAACCTATGAAGGTATGGTGTATCAACTAGTATGACAAAATCATGACCACTTATATTCTCAAATTCATTATGGAAATTGTTTTTCAGCTCGCCAACATCCAAATTACCTTTTTCAAAAATATAAAAGAAAGGAATATTTGCAGAGGTTTTGGAAAAACATACAGGCCCATAATGTATAATTGCATCAGCGCTAATATGAGCAGCTGCAATGTAATCTATACAACAGCTAAAAAATAATTAATATTATATTGGGTAAATAGATCCATAAAGCAGAAAAATCACTTATTTGACGACTGGCTCTAAAGCAAATCATCTAAAAGAATAATTCATTCATGCCAGTTTCAACACACCTACACTGTAAGTTAATGGACTGACGCCTATCAGAAAACAACTCCTTTCCTGGCTAATACCACGAAGAGCGTTGGACTATATCCGACAGATATTGATGATGGACACTACCTTGCACTAATGAGGAGCCAAATAGCCCGAAACATGTCTGCAAATGTGCCTGTTCCATTCCAATAATTGAAAATCAATTCAAGCAGCTGTATTGCTAACATCATATGCAGGAATTACTTCTGTGAAGATTCCAGCACCGATACCTGTCGGATATAATCCAATGCCTTTCGTGGTATTAGCCAAAGGAGTAGTTGTTTTCTAATAGGTGTCAGTCCATTAACCTACAGTGTAGGTGAGTTGAGACTGGCCTGAACGAGTTGTTCTTTTAGATTATTTGGAAAATCACTAATTCACAATACAGAGAAAAAATGTACCAAGCATATGGTTGATTAGAATTAAATATAAAGAAATAGGAGAAGCAAGCCTCTCCCGTGAAAATAATATGTAGTGTCTGACAGAAAGTTCGGTTTCGATTGAGTTTCGGCAAAAAAACGGGTTTTGGTTTCGGCGGCAAGCAAACCTACCGAAACTACATTCGGGAGTTCTCGCGCTGTGATCGGTTATGTTCGGCGCGTTGAATTTCATACAAGCTACGAAGACATTTTGCCGCGTCCACGTGCCTAACCATGTCGTGACTTACTATGATTTACTTTGTTTATTACAAAAATATTAAGTACTTACCTATTGTGATATTAGGTAACAACTTAAATAGGTAATTTTATGTTTAATATTTTTGAAAAACCATTAATGATATTCAAAAGAAGAATCTACAGCTACTCAAATAAACACCTCAACTATGTTAAGTACTTTCAAGCTGCAATTAATATTTTTTCTTAAATAAGGGGTTGTTATGTTGATTATCAATAAGTAAAAATGTCGAAGACTGCATAATGTTGTGATTTAAAGATAGAAAATAAAGACTGACTGATTATAATAACTTTTTTTTTATTTTTCCCTCAAAACATAATCCTTGTAAGGAAGTTTTGGTTGAAACTGAGACCATTGCCAAAATTCGGTTTCGGTCATAAAAACTAGTTTCGGTCGCACACTAATACATTTTACATGGATGTAAAATGTAAAAAACCTTTGACATGGATGTTTCACAGTTTAGAGGCCCACGCTGAATTCGTAATTTATTTAATCGTTAATGACACATTCTTGTAAGCTGATCACCAGTCATTCACGAGTCCGAAAGTACATTTTTTCAGAGACTTGCTTTTGGCAGTAATAATTCCGGAAATATCACCTTTTCAAGACCACATATCTGGTGTCATTTATTCATTTGCCACACCCACGATGACATGATAGAAAAATAAATCTATTGTCATGATAATATCAGTCTATCTTTTCCATGTTAGTGCAAGTTTCCCACATTTTTTTAATAAATAACCCTGAAATAATTCTTGTTGAAACTCATTTTGCAAAAAATTTAACAATTGTACAAACTAAAACGTGAAACTGGAACCTTGGGCGGAGAATAAATCCGAAACATGCGAGTCTGCATTTCTGGTGATTGGGAAAAGTGCTTGTTTTGGAATTGTACATCCATGTTTCAATTACCAATTTAATTATTTTGTATTGTTGGAGAGTTTGTGAATTAGTGGTCCCATAAATATAATATAACCCTAAAAGGTATTACTTATTCAATAAATATTACTGGAGTTAGATAAATACTAAAATCTTCCTCTTTGAAGATGATCACTTGGTGATCGAAACACGTGTAGAGGTGTTAAAAATAACGATTTGGTGTTGGGAAAAAACTCCAGTAATATTCATTACTACACCAAAGGTTCCAAACAGTGCATCATAAGTACCTATTCAATAGATGAATAAATATCAAACAAAGGTTTGAAAATTTAATTTCATAATGATTTTCATCCTTTTAAGCAGAGCGGAGAAAACATTTTTTTTTAATCTGGCAGCAAAATTTCCTAAAATGGATGAATGAATGCTCTTAGCATGCGATTGTATAATATGTAGAGTATTCATCACTGAAAGAAAATTTTTGACTTTTGAATGATCATATAACTGAAATTTGATACTTTCACCAAACTTCACCTTCAGCAGCATAAAATACAATTTTAGAGCCTGTCTGCCTAATAATTACCATATCTACCATCGAGTTGAAGGCTTTTAACTTTCATTTCAACTATGTTACCTTTCATAGGCTGTATCTCCTAAAATATATACAGTCTGATTCAATGCATTCTGCAATCTGAAAACCACTTCACTTGAATCAGGTAATAGATGGTCGGGAAATTGAAGGCATACCTGTAATGAAGTAAAATACTCTTTAGTTCTTGGATTGATCCTATAGAGTATGATATTGAGCAATTCTGAAGAGTAAAATTTAATTCAACTATAAATAATTTTAGAAAAGAGTTTTTTGGGAAAACATTTTTTTGGTTTTCTACTTCTCTATCATTGAACACAAAATGTGGGATATTCTTCAAAAAAGAAAGAAAATAAATACAATATAGATGTGTAGATCATATCGAGAAGTTTCTATCAGATTTAAACTGGGAGAAAAAACACTTTAGACATAAGTATTTTCACATGAACATTGAATTACATGAAAAAAGTCCTTTTGAAATAACTAAGCACTATAATATGAATATTTGGGTACACAAAAATCATTTTTTCCCAATCAGTTTGTTCTCCAATCATTGGTTATGGAATTGACATAACATATTATAGGAACGCTACAAACCTTACAAATAGTATCATTCTTTAAGGAATGTTTGAAGTACAAAATGAAAAAAAAAAGGATTTTCTTTAAATTCTATGTTCATATTAAAGAAGTTGTTTCAAAAGGATTTTTTCCTTTTGTGTAATTCAATGTTCATGTGAAAGTAGTTTTTTGGAGATTTTCTTCCAGTTTGTATTTGAAAGAAAAATCTGTGTCCGATATTCACATCTCCATTGTAATTTTCTTTCTTCCTTGTTTAGAAGTTTCCCACATTTTTTTGGAGATGGAAAAGTTAGTTTTTCTTCATCTACTGAAGACGCCAACTTTGTTGGTGAAACGCGCGGCGAGAAGAGTATTGAATTTCTGGTGAATTGGAAAAGTACATGTGTTGGATTTATTCTATGCCAGAACACAAGTATAATGCTAAAATAACTAGCCTTATTCTTGTGTCATCACAATATCAGCATTCAATTTAATGAAGACAATTAATTTTCCTTCCACATAACAGACAATTCAAGTGGAAAACATAAAAATCAAATTCATACCTTTCTAAAATCGTTAGATTTTATCCACTCGGCACATTTCCTTATTTCATAAACATATTCCAAATCTTCGGGGTTAGTTTGAATGGGTGGTGAAGTTGAATCAATTTTTTTCTCCAAACTCACATCTTCATTTGTGGAGAACGTGAGTTTCGGCATTTTACTTATGGCGCTGAAGTAGGGTTAATGTCACAAACCACTTACTCTAGTAGTAGTTTGTGGTTGATGTTTGAAATTTCTCTCTCTCTAGTTTCTATGACCGTTGCCTCCTGCGCGGCACATTTAGCCTATGTTTAAGTTCAACCCCATTGAAATATTTGACACAATGGTATTTTTGAACTAACTAGATACGTTTCATTGAAATTCACAAGAAAATGTATGATGTATAATTCCACTTGCTTGAAATCGAAGTTGTTCGATATATACTCTATAATAAATCTGAATTTTCTTATTGTTTGTTTAATTTTCACTATGATGATTAGAAAAATTCTACCGATAATGACGCTGCTCAAACTATAAACAATATGTTTATTGTTTTGGTGAATTTTTGGCTTTGAGTTGTTCAGTTGTAAATTTGTGAAAGTAATGTTTTCAATACGATTATTATAGACATGAGAAACTGATGAATAAGTGAACTAAATTACTTTCACTTACAGAGGAAGCACAAGAAACCACAACAATATATGAAAACAGCTGAGATTACTTCATTTCTGTTTATTCATATCGTTCAGTTCTAATATATCCGATGGACGTCATACATGTACGACCCAAACCAGGGTTGGTTAGAATCCTGATCCAAACATTATAATGAATTCCATGGACAGTGGCCTCAAACACTTTAAATAGCTGTTTGTAGTGAAAAATGGAATAACTCAAAAAGTGTTCTTGATACCGAATTTATTTCCAAAAGTGTTAACTAATATCTCTATTTTTTTTCAGTTTCTTGTTTATTATATATGACAATTGAGTTTTTTTTATTGTACACTATTTCTCATGTTCTGGATGCTTACATCGATGGTCAGACGCCAGAGGTGTTAGGATAGTAAGTTCTATTCATATGAAACCACACCGCTATTGTTAATGTAGATTTGAAACAAAATCTAAGGCGTAGGACAAGAGTATGTTACATATAACCCATGCTAAGGATCGCACGTTAACAGGAAAGTCTTTGTTAAATAATCGACAGCTGGTAAATGGGAAAACCTATTCAAACCAATTAGCTCATTTAACCCATCAGCTGTTGGGCAATTGGTAAGTAAATGAGATAAGGAAAGTAAGTATAGCTATGAGTTTATAAACAAACCATTATCTCCCCGATTTTCTCTGTTTAACATGGGTTTCAGTTATGTGGTGGTTCTTTTGGTTTAACAGACAGTAGTTCAATCGATCAGTAGTTCAGTTATTATATTTGAAATGACAAGTAGCTCAAACACTCGAATAGAGTTATTGTCAAAATCTTATGTATTCTTGTTAGTTAATTCTGTATTTCTCATTAAATTCGGAAATGGCTTACAATTTCAAATCAGAAAGTGAAGTCAAAGAATATATTAATAATTTGGGGATAGAATATAGATTCGGATGTTACAGCGAGAAAAAACCTGAAGGTAGGTTGAAATTTTCAATCATTGAACAGGATATAACCTTAAATCAAATTAATTTTTCAGTTTGTCACCTATTAGCGGACTTTTTGGAATCAATAAAAAAGGATTTTGAGAAAGCTGGAAAAGTCTACAAAAACAACTGTGATGAATACAAATATGGTAAAAGTTGTTTGAAATATGGTACCTACAGTTTATTAGGAAGAGGTACTAAACAGTCTGATTTCAAGCAGGCATATGATTATTTCGAGAAAGGATGTAATTTGGAAGAGCCTGATTCGTGTCTGAACCAGGCACTGCTTTTGATTACAAAGAATGATCGTCCTGACATCAAACAAGATGTGATTAAGGAAAGTTTAAACATTGGTTTTTATTCCCGAATAATTTTTAAAATAATGCTTAGTTGTGTTGAAGATTTATGTAACAAATATAATCTTTTTTGATGTCATGTTTCTATTCCAGGGTATGAGGCTTCTAGAGAAAGCTTGTCAGGCAAAAAATGCCAATGCCTGTTATTACCTATCTGGAATGTATATAGTTGGTGTAAAAAATGATACTACTTCCAACATCACTGATGTGAGCAAGGCAGATAGTGCTAAACATGAAGAATTTAGTGTCCCCAAAAACATGAAGAAAGCTTTTGAATTTGCTTTAGAAGGATGTAATCTAGGAAATATATATAGCTGTGCAAATCTTAGCCAGATGTATGCCAAAGGGGAAGGTATTCAAGCTTCGATTTATTAATTTCTCTGCCTTGAATATATATGTTTTGTCTTAGGAACTGAAAAGAATCAAGAATTGGCTGAAAAATATAAGAGCATAACCCTGGAAATGCAAAAAGAAGTGCAAAGCAATAAAACACTATCATTCCAAGAAGGGCTGAATCCTTAATTTATTCTAGTCATCATACAAAAGCTTTTATTTTAGATGTTGAAGAAAAGTTTTATATTTCTTTGTGAATATAGTGACGTTGAATAAAAAAAAACCTTTTTTAAAATATTTTATTTACATCAAAATTCATATTAAAATATTTAGGAAACATAGAATTTGAGATAGTTATCACACTTTGAATATTTTTAAATTGTATTCAAGAAAAAATAACATGAACAAACGTGACAAAAAATTATCATTGCACTCTGAAAAAATTTTCTATCTTCCTATTTCTCAACAGATTGACAAAATTGTGTTAATCAGTAGAACCATGAATTTTAGGAGTTTTTATTTTATACAAGTTGCAGTACATTTCAAACATGCTAATGATGAAGAGACTCCTCTGAATTATAGACACTTGCATGGAGAGGCAAAAGGGATGTTCAGCATTATATTTCCATATAACCTCCTCATGTTTAACTCATTCATATACATCTTAAGTTTCAACAATAAATAGTTTTTATCACAAAAAATATAGATCTGTACATCTTCATAAAAACTCCATTGTATTATATTTGTCTCTGCGATTTTTGATGATATTTGGCAACGCTTCAAGTCGAAGTGGCTTCTTGGTAAATAGATCGTTATGATTTGAAGGTATCCCTGAAAAATTAAGTACTTGTTCAAATCTTAACTGGTAAATGAAAACGGTTTCCCTTCATTCAAAAGTGAAAAAATGTTTTTAGGATGATCAAAACTTTTTTCCTCAGCTCATTAAATATACATGAAATACAACAAATAATTTTGAAGAAAAAACTAATGAGGTGAATGGCTGGTGAAATCATGATTGAAATAAAAGTTGGTGTTTTCATGGCAGCAGGAGGTATCCTATCAAAAATTAATTAAAAGGAAGACAATACCATCATCAAGTTGTTAGTTGATCAAAAAAGAAAAAGTAATTGTAAAATTCAGAATATTTTTTAAATCCTCAGATAAAAGCTATTTTCCCATGTAAGTTTGTTTTATTATTCAAGGAATGGCCTTCTAATCATTATGGAAAGTTTTGAAATGCTAATATATGATAAATCGAAGATGATGTTATTTACCGTGTGACCATGAACTATTAAAACCGCTACTGCTTACACTGCTACTACCCAATCCAATGAAATGTTCCTTTGGTGGTGAACCATTTCTACTGGAGTTTTCAGAGGATCTATTTCTCTTTGCAAAATCTGAAATAATGTTCCGACCAGTTTGGCCTATTTTAGTTATATACGAGTTCAAAATGTAGGTAATTCAGAACAATTCTACTTTTTGAGTATATAAAATATATCTGCTGCCATAAAGCATTAACACTTTACGTTACAATTATATATATTTATAAATAATTTACTAGCCTTTTGGAGTCATACAAAAATAATAAAATAAGGTCATAAAGATCATATGCATAGGTATATGAATTTTAAGAATCCCCTTATGATATAGACTTCATTTCCAATACACTATCATTATACCAGTATTTTCTTCAGTTGGACTGGTACTCTACGCGGATTTAGAATCTAATTTATACAAATTACCAACCTTAATTGATAAAATATTACTAATTGGTGAACAGGTAGTTTTAAGAGCAGATACAAAAATCATGTAAAACTATAGATTGTTTGAAGGTGATTGACAATGTTTCATGATGAATTTCACTAGTTCGGACTTCCATTGTCTACTATATAAAATGATTTGAAATCCCTGAAACAACTAAAAAAGAAGAATTAAAAATGAATAGCTGAAAATAAGAATTATATTAACCAAAATAAACCTGAAATGAAATAATAGTGAAATAAAATACAAGTAAATATCTAGACAAGTTTTGAGTAGCCGAATCTCTGGAGCTGATGATCGGTCTAAGCGGAACGTCCTTCTTGTGGATTTTGGGTAGTCCATACAAGTGAGGGGGCTTACTCTGTGGTGCAGTGTTAGCGATGATCTTTCCTTGTCCGAAAAATAGACTTGGTGTTTTTTCAAAATCTGGTACAACTTCCTTTCGATTGATGCAGTAGGGTCGCGTACGATCTATGTGTATCGTCCCTTCTGAAGAACCTCTTCGATCTTCTGTTCGTAGAGGACGTACCAGATTTTGAAAAAACACCAAGTCTATTTTTCGGACAAGGAAAGATCATCGCTAACACTGCACCACAGAGTAAGCCCCCTCACTTGTATGGACTACCCAAAATTCACAAGAAGGACGTTCCGCTTAGACCGATCATCAGCTCCCTCGATAGGAAGACTCAACAGATTGTCTCTGGTCTGGATTCCTGGCCATATTGGCAATGAGGCTGCTGATTCCCTTGCAAAGGAGGGTGCTGCAAGCAGCTTCATCGGACCAGAACCTGTCATTTGCATCGCTTTAAGTTTTGCCAAACAAGCATTGAACACCTGGATGGCAAGAAGATTCAAGGATTTCTGGCATCCAGGATTGGCTCACTCCAAGGCGTTTATTCACCCTTCGAAGCTTGATACCAAACAGCTGTTGGACTACAGTGGGGATGAACTACGATGTCTAATAGGCCTTCTCACAGGCCACTGTCATCTGAATCATCATAAACGGGCTATCGGAAGGCAGTGCGTGTCGTCTCTGTTTGGAAAATGATGAAACAGCAGAGCACATACTTTGTGCCTGCCCCGCTGGGGACCGAATCAGGTTTTCAGAGTTTGACGCAGAGCCGTTTGCTTACCATCTGACCTGAAAGACCACTCATCATACAAACTAATCGGCTTAGTTAAGAAGCTGAGTGTATTTGGTCGAGTGTGAATAGGTGTGAGCCACAATAAATCCTTGGGGGTTGTGGTGTAGGGTCGAATAGACCCACTCACTTTTGACCTAACATAACATAACTATTTACAGGAAATAAAGGCCAAAATGAAACTTGCTGGAATCCCTGGAAATAAATGAACATAAACAATCAAATTTTCTATTGAATATCCAAAAAAGAAGTTTATCTCTCACCACTGTGGAATTCATTTCCATGAAAAATTTTCCAGAGTTAGTCGAATCATTATGTTTACCAATTAGTAGTCTCTATTAATTAAGGTCGGTAATTTTTATAAATTGCATTTTAAATCAATATAAAATACCAGTCCAACGCGTATAGAAAATAAAGTCATTATTGTGATGATTTGTAATTATTATCATGAGAGTGTTATTGATTTTCATCAAGTTTCGAGACAGAGTGTGTTCAAAATCATAAGAATCTGGTATATTAGGTACATACAAAATACATTAGTCAATTACAAATAAAATACGATGAGGCGAGTTTACAAAAACACAATATTCAGAACTTGTTAACTTTTACAAAATCAATGTTACCTCTCCAAGTATTGATAACTTTATTTGCATCCAATCTTGAGGATTGATTAAGTAGTTCATTAGCTCTTTTTGATGTGGGTTGAAAGTAACTTGCAATGATGTTTTCCTTCTCATTTTGGTCAAATTTCTGCTGAAAAAAAATGTTGTATCAACTATCGACGATTTTTATAAACTTTATAAACAGAAGAATGTTTGTTAATTTATTACTATTATTTTTACTGTATATCTTTTTCAAACAGAAAAATATAATTTGGTAATTTTGAAAAGGAAATACCAACATAATCCTATTTTCCAATACACAATTTAACATATACCTATGTTGAAATGTTTCTCTGGTAATAAATATTTTGGTCAAAAATTCTTGAACTAACAACTTTTTGGTAATCATATATAAATTCAACTTCAGCTATAGTGTCTTTAATTTCACAATAGTGCAAGAAAAAAATTGAAATTACCTCATCATTATAAAAGTATGATGGACTAATAAATTCTGCTCTAGAGGTATTTGAGTTTGAATCACTGGATTCGATTCGATTATAAATTTGTCCTGTGCCATTTATCGTGCAGCAGCGTGCAAAAAACATAGAATAGCAAAATAAATTACATTGACTCAAGTTCCAGTTTAATATTATCACAGTTGTACTTCGTTGAATCAAAAACTTTATTGTCCCCCAATTTCAAATACGAATATTTTCACATCTTAAATGATTAGATGAAGAAATATGAAACCAGGTAAATCACCAGTAAATAAATAGTGGAGTTAAGTTACCAAGATTTGTCATACTTGCGTCAATGACATATTCAGGTATTCGTAACAATTCCTATACACTTGAGCCTGAACTATGCAGAAAACAAATGTGTAATTATTAGGTAGTTTCAAAAGTTTTCTCCGTTTTTATGAGTCTTCTTTGAACTGTAATATCTCAGTGAATACTTATTCAATTTAATAGAAATAAGCAACATTTGAATCGTTGTACTTTTACCAACTTAACACAAGTCGATTAATTTCATCGGCATAAAAATTGTGTACTCAGGAATCGATGAAGTTGACGAAGGCCGTTTTTGCCTGGTCCTGATTGCGAAGCTTCTACCGGTGAGAAAATTACGGAAGTGCTTGAAGAGATGGTAGTCGGTTGGCGAGAGGTCTGGGGAGTATGATGGGTGAAGCAGGAATTCGATGCTCAATTCGCTCAATTTTGGGACGGTGATTCATGAACCGTGCATACGGGCGTTGTCGTGGAGCTGGATCGGACCTCTTCTGTTGACCAGTACCGTCTGCTGCTGACACAATTTTCGGTACATCTCGTCGACTTCCTCTCAATAGGACCCGGTTGCAGAAAGTTATAGTGAATCACACCAGTCGCTGACCACCGTGGTCTTTTTTGTTGGGTTTAAGCCTTTGGAAGTGCCTGGGTGGCTCATCGGTGTCCAATAACCGCTGTCCTGAACGTCTCCTGTTGTCGTAGAGGATCCACTTTTCATCATGTGACGTTGCGCAAAAGAGAAGGACAAACCTCGAAATGTGAAAATTTCTGTCGATCGTTCAAATCGTGGGGCACCGAATTTTCGATCCTTTTGACCTTTCCAATTCGTGTTGAACGTATTGGAAGCATTCATCAACACTATCACGACACAATAGAATGAATATTTATTGAGATATGGATCTACAAAAACACATGACATTAAAATGGACAAAACTTACGAAAGAATCTCATAATATTTATCATGAATTTCGTCAGGTGATTTTACTTCGGATTTGATCGACAATACAGGGTATTTCAATTTCGACTCTCACCAGTGGGATTTCGGAAGCTATACGGGATACTAAGACGATTGAGAGAAAGGAAAGGGAAATATTGTAAAATAGTTATTATTTTATTCTGATTCATTTGATGAAACATTTAAAAACACATAACACATTTTCATGCCCACTTTTTCTCTGCCAAAACGCAGATTTTCCATACGACGTTTCATCTTTCGGTCACCATCATCATTATTTTTCTTATCAGCGCCATATTTAATTTTCAGTTTTATAAAGCGGTTTTGTGCTTTTCCAATGATGTATCACGAAATTTACTCTGGTTTTCATAAAATTACAAATCAATAATGGAAACGTTTTTCGGTATATAGACATTGATTTGTTCTGGTTACGCTATTCATCATTTTTCAAATGAACCAAACACCAAGATTTCTATCCAATGATTTGATCACGTTTTTCTTCATCGGTGAAGTTCGTTTTGTTCGGCACTAGTGATTCACTGCGTTTGAAAGTGCCATTTGAATGTAACAAATTGGAAAATAAAATCCTACTACTATAGAAAAACGCTTTTCATTAATAAATTACAATTTTGTAAAAATTAAAGTAACTTGTGATATATCGATGGAAAAGCACGAAAAGACTTTCGAAAACTGTGAAAATCAGAAATCTGAAAGTTGTAGTTGGTATACCAAAAGGGCCCGTTTTGTGACCGATACTTTTTCTCATTTACATTAACAGTATAACAAAAATCAACAATTTCATAGGCGATATAATATGCTATGCCGATGATATTGCTCTTATTTACACGGGAACATCTTGGCATGAAATAAGAGAGACAGTAGAAACAAATTTACAAAAATATACATGTGGTTAAGTAGTACTAAACAAGACAAAGTATCTGACTTTTTCCCCCACCCTTCGTGCTCAAACCAAAAACTACAAAATAAAAATGCATATACCGCACTCTGATCATCAAAATACTTGCGACTGTCAGACCATAGAACAAACCACATTTATAAAATACATCCTAGTTATTTTAGATCAGCACCTAAAATGGACGAAACATATCAACTTTGTAACAAAAAGGCTCAGAGTATTAATGCACACTTTTTATGAACTACGTGGCATACTGTCTAAAAAAATCTTATAATACTCTAAACCTCTCTTCTCTCTTGTCGAATCTATAATAAAATAGTGTATTCCTGCTTGAGGTGCAACATTCAAAAATGCTATTAGCCCATTACAAACCGCTCAAAACATTTTATTAAAAATTATCTTTAAAAAAAATAGACTCTTTTCAACAAGACAGTTACCTATATCAAAAAACCATGTTATATACTCCTGCACTATAGATACATTTATCATTGCCTAATAAGACTGTTCCATAAACGAGCAGATTTCGCGCAGAAACATTCGAAAGATACTCGATCAAAAATGAACCAGGACCTAAAAATTGAATTCTTTAATGAAACGGTCACCCATAATTCTTTTTTCTTTCATGGTTCAAAAATATTCAACATCTTACTTAAAAATATAAAAGATATAACATCCTTCCAAGTATTCAAAAAGAGGCGAAAAAGTATGCACATAATCATCCAGAAAAATTTACAACTTTATACTGAAATAAATAAGTACTTACTTGTAATTTGTATATATTGTGTATATAAGCACTAATCTTCACTTACCATATGAATACAATTACATGAGATATAGATACAATTGTACAAATGCCATGCTGATTTAGACATCACAAAACAGGCTATATTTGCCTAACGTGAGTCTACTTCAGTGAGTCATTTTTAGAAAAAACTCATACAACTATCCAATATCCATTATTTTATTCATTTACACATTATTGATTGTTTTGATATTGATGATTGTATGTAAAATGGTTTTGAAAAAAAAATTGAATTGAATTGTAGCGGAGAAAAAATGGAAGTGAAAATGTGTAATTCATTTTTAAATATTTCATCAAATGAATCAGGACAAAATTTCAATTTCTAAACAGCATTCTAAACAGCATTCTAAACAGCATTTTTTTGTCAAATACATGCGCAACTTATCCAATTCAACCTTTTAGGTATCTACGATCGTTTCAGACATCCTAATGGTGACAGTTAAAATGAAAATAACCGGTTGTATGATAAAAGAAGTTAATTTCAAAAGTGAGAATTTGAGTTTCTTTTATCGATTTTCAAACTATAAGTTACTCGATTTGAGTTATTTCCCTGCAGTTCTGAATAGTAGATCTTTTGTGAATTTGGTATTGAATTTTTAGTTTTTTCCAATTTTTTTTCATATCTTTCAATAAAAGTCATTGAAACATTCAATTTGATATCAAAAACTATGCTTTTCAGTCAAATACAAGAACCGGCATTGTAATAAAACTAATATTTTTAATACAATGATTTTAAACGTTAACTTCACCTTCTATGCTAAGCTTCTGATTCAATAACTAATGCAAAGAAAATATTCACATTGCATTCAAAATATTAGTTTTCTACTGAATTTATTATTCCTCGACAGTCATTTATTCTGCTTCGATTTCTCTACCCGAGTAATGTAATCTTGAAGTAGTATTTACTTAGTATTTCAAATTATAGTATCATTATTAGAGAGTGCATTATGTCATTTAAATACTTTTTGGTACTTTATATATATTTATATAATACACTTCATAGCCAAAGCTTAAGTTTCCCAAATATGAACTGATTCATGCATCTTTACGACAAGCAAAATGTTGACTAGACAAGATTTATTTTTGAAGGTACAGTAGTCAAGCAGAAATATGTACAAAATAATAAAAACTTAAGCCAATTAAAAATAAAAATGTTCAATTTTCTGTCACCTTTTTCAAAGAATCTTTATTGAAATTTGCATCTTCTACTATGTCTCCTTCGTATTGCAAACGGGCTGGCGCAGTCTGTATATCGTAACCCCGTCCTGTATGGAATATATTTTCCATTACCACTCAAACTTAAACAGATATTGGGTGTATCTCACAAAAGATTTTTTCAAAAGTACACTGCTGACGTGTTACGTATGTACTAATACAAAGTGGTAATAAGCTGAATGAACTGATCCAAACGGATCTACTGATTTTTGTTGAATATTACTTAAAAATATAGTGGTGTAAAACATAGTATATGAATCGTTAAAGCTCCAAAAAATGCGTACTGTTATTAGTGAACATCAGATATACCCAATACTTTGCAATATTATTTACCTGGTGGCGGTAATTTTGTTCTTGTTGTGACAAGTTCCGGAAGTTTATATTTTTGAGAATCATCCAACCATACCGCCTGTTCCCTTATGGATTCCAAATCACTGTAAAATCATTCATGAATTTCATCCGAACGAAATGTATTCAATTGCGAACCTATAATTACATTCCTTCTTCAGTGTTCCAGCGAGTTTATCACAAATTTGAGACAACAATTTTATATTTTTCTCTTGTTTCCTGATCGATTCTAAGTAGTCTTGTCGTTCAGTTTCAAATTCACTCTGGATGTCTGATATTTCTTTTTCTAACGTTTTTACTTTGTGCCTATATTTTCGTAAAGCTTCTGTTTTCAAGTTGAGTTCATGACTTATGTCTTTGTATTGATTATGGAGGAGTTCTCTGTCTTCATTCATATCGATTTTTGCTAATAATCGAGCTATAACGCTGCAATATATGTGAAATAAATAATAACTAAGTTTTAATTTCAAATTTTCCAAGACACAATTACCTTGCTCGTTTTTCTGCTGCAATTTTTTTCTTCTTCCTCCTTTCCGACAATTCTTGATCATTTGCCTTTTCTCCTCCAATCATAGCGGCTTTCAGGGCTTCAATTCTGTTGAGAATTTCCTCCTCCGAGCACAACTCCTTTTTTTGTTTTTCACTGATTTCTTCATTTAATTTTCGAATGTTTCTATCGTACTCCTCTTTGATTGTTTGTATTTGCCTTAAAACATTTTCCTTCTCGTTCTTCTCGTTTTCATGAAGATGTTTAAGTTTTTTCATTTCTTCCTGATACTCCCTCAACAATTTATCTCTTTTGGCGTCGAGGTCACTGTAATTCGACGGTTTATTGATATTTAGCTCTTCTTCGGGAATCGTGAGATCTTCTATTCTTAAACCGTCTGGTTGCCTATTTTCCAATAATGTTTTCAGTCTTTCTATTTCTTCTTGGTATTGCCGGAGCATTGTGTCCTTTGGATCCTTAAAAAAATGTATTATTAAAGTTCAGAAAAGATTGGCTCGAATCTACTCACTTCATTGACTCTAGGTTTATTATGGATGTTTTTTGCTCTATTCGCATACCGCAAAGTAGATAATGTTTCCATATAATCCCTGTGTGAAGGGCTAATGCATGCTATCATTAGTGTCCTAGTGTTACCACCCAAAGAATCCTAGAGAGTGACGAATATAATGTAGTTGTTAAAATTATTTCTGGTATGTATCTAAAACAAGTCCCACTTCCCTCATTTTCTTTTTCATCCATGATAATAGTTGAACATTTTACACAAATATGAGCTCTACTCCAATGCAAAGGAATTTCTAAAAAGTGATATATGAATGATATTGATATTTTATGAAAAAATAACCGCTGTAGATGCTGAAAAATACATACGAAAATAATCATCGAATCGGTTGGCGTAGTATATAATTATCTTAATTATTTAAGATTTTTGATGATTTCCTCATGGATTTCATCATCAGAACTCTACCGAATTTAAACGGCAGTACACCTCAAGTATCCTCTTTCAAATAAAAAGAAAGCTATCAAAATTGGTCTACGTTGTGAGGAATTATCGCTGAATGATATGAAAAAATATTCCGGGGAGTTACTCGTAATAACCTTCTGCTATATAATATATATAAAATATAATTATAATCAAATATATAATCCTGAAAGTACGTGACAACCTCCAGGGGTCGTGTGAATTAAGGATTCACAAGGTCTCAACTTTTAACGTGCAATTCCTAGCATGGGTTTGAAGATAAGCAGTAGGAATCGACCATTCGTACGTCAAGCTCGAACCACCGTTTTACACATCGATCGATTTAGTGAGTAGAACGAACCACTCACGCTATCTAACCAGCTAGCGATGATTAGATTCTTGAATTTCCGAATGGATCACGTTTATTCTTGTTTTCGGCGAAGTAAGTCAGTGGAAAATTAACTTCCAGCATTTTTTTCCACCTCTTATTGAAGATGATAGAACAATAGCAAGTACTGCATGAATGTTCACCACAAATTCATTTTGAAGCTTATAGAAAATTTACATCCAAATCTAAACTCTGTCCATCAAATAAACAAAGTAATCCAAACAATGATAGATACGTGATCAGCACGTGATCATCACGTACATTTAAATCTATTGGTTGAAATAAACAAGCCTCCTTACGCTGGCCTATCAAATCTAACTGCCATCGGCTGGCGGAATTCATTCAGGTATGTCGCTACAGGGTCGGAGTGGTGACTTAGATACGTTTTAACGCCTGTGGTGTGTAGATATACGGTATTTTAAAGTTTGAAATTTTTGAAATGTCAAGTACTGATACGGCTGAAAAAACTGCTAATTCGTGTCCCTATACACTCCACCTAAACAATTTTCCTATACCCAGCCGCATATTATATAAAAAAAAATAATAAAATTTCGTCCTCTGACGAAATACGTGACAACCTCCAGGGGTCGTGTGAATTAAGGATTCACAAGGTCTCAACTTTTAACGTGCAATTCCTAGCATGGGTTTGAAGATAAGCAGTAGAAATCGACCATTCGTACCACGAGCTCGAACCACCGTTTTACACATCAATCGATTTAGTGAGTAGAACGAAGCACTCACGCTATCTAACCAGCTAGTGATGATTAGATTCTTGAATTTCCGAATGAATCACGTTCATTCTTGTTTTCGGCGAAGTCAGTCAGTAGAAAATTTACTTCCAGCGTTTTTTTCCACCTCTTATTGAAGATGATCGAACAATAGCAAGTACTGCATGAATGTTCAACACAAATTCATTTTGAAGTTTAAAGAAAATTTACATCCAAATCTAAACTCTGTCCATCAAATAAACAAATTAATCCAAAAAATGATAGATGCGTGATCACCACGTGATCATCACGCACATTTAAATCTATTGGTTGAAATAAACAAGCCTCCTTACGCTGGCCAATCAAATCTAACTGCCATCGGCTGGCGGAATTCATTCAGGTATGTCGCTACAGAGTCGGAGTGGTGACTTAGGTACGTTTTAACGCCTGTGGTGTGTACATATACGGTATTTTAAAGTTTGAAATTTTTGAAATGTCAAGTACTGATACAGCTGAAAAAACTGCTAATTCGTGTCCCTATACACTCCACCTAAACAATTTTCCTATACCTAGCCGCATATTATTAAAAAAAATAATAAAATTTCGGTCGTTTCTTAGTGCGACTCTTTACAAGCAGCCTTGTCTGGGGGGAGATCACGTGCACTATGCATGATAATGTTTTGGAGCACTCCGTTGCTTGTATGGACAGAGTATATAATATGTAACGATAACTTTTTTATTGAGATTCCCAAGCCACTTCTTGAAGGTGGAAGCACCGTAGGCCGGTCGCACTCCAGTAGCGAGATAGTTTTTTTATCTTTCGTTTTTTGGGTAAAAATTTGACGATCGCCCGAAGAGTTTGAGAAGGTAATTTTTGGGCAGACCGTCGAACCACGTTGTACTAATTAATAAACAATATCTCCGTTGTGTATGGTTCTCCAGTTTCCTGAAAGAACGTTGCCTACAAATGGCCGTCGATGAATATATCTCGAATACTTTTACCATCAACGCTGGTGTTCCCCAGAGATCTGTATTGTCTCAAACCTTTTTTTTACTGTATATCAACAACTCATTGGAAAAAACGAAGAATTCAATATATTGTTTTGCTGACGACAGCACACTCTTCTCATCATTTCATTTGGATTCCAAGACATCGGCTGCAGATGCACAGCTTCACCGGCAGCAGGTGATTGCATACCTTAATGAGGATCTAGAGGTGCTTTCGAAATGGGGTGAAAGTAACCAGGTTCAATTCAATGCCACAAAAACCCAGGCATCGGTTTTCTCCAAAAAGATAAATGTCTCTGGATCGGATATAATAATGTCTGGATAGACGATTCCGCTTTCTGCTTCGATGAGTTTGTTGGGGGTTAAAATGGACACCAATATGTCTTGGCACAATCATGTTGCTAGAATTGCAAAGGCTTTCTTCTCAAAAGCTTGGAACACTGTTCCGAAACAGATAACTGTACACACCTCGGCAAACTTTTATGCGTTATAAAACTATGATCTGACCTTCTTTGAGGTACTGTTCTCATGTATGGAGCTTCGCCCCTAAGCATACCTTGAAGCTGCTGGATTCCATCCAGAAAAGTGCCATCCGCCTGATTGGAGACACGAATATCACTTGCACCCTTGATAGTCTGGAATATCGAATAAAGGTAGGAGATTTGTCTCTTTTTTATATATACTTCCACGGGAGGTGTTCAAGTGACATGAGACAGTTTATTCCACCAAAAGCGGTACATATCAGAAATACGCGACAGACTGTGGCTGCTCATCGTTTTAAGGTTCAGCTCAGTACACTTCGAACTTCACTGCTTAAGAACTCTTTCATTTGGAGAACTGCGTGTATGTAGAATAAACTTCCTGGGAACGTTTTTTCAAATGAATTTGATCTCAAGCGATTCAAATCCAACGTGAATCACTACTTCCACACAGGCACCGCTCTTAGAGCGCCTTAAGGATTTTCCTGTAGTGCTTGTGTTCTGTCCTTAAAAAAGTTGAAAAGGTGATAATTATTTGCTTGTGGTTGTTTCACAAAGTTTCATGAATTCTCAAAATTCTAAAATGGTTGCAACGCCACGCCTTAAATGTTCATAGATAAACTATATAAAAACATTAGTGGCACTTATATTTCAGTTCAGTTGACTCACCTGTAATAATCTAGTGAGTTTGGAATCCCTATAAGGAATGTGAGTTGCCTTTCCGTCGACTAAAGCTGAAATCACATTACCCAGAGCACTGAGCGACAAATTGATTTTCGTCGCTTCTTTCAGTCTTTCGCCTGTTGCGCCGGTTTTTGTTTGTCTTTCCGAACCAGCCAAGTCCACTAAATTAAGTTTGCCTAAAAAAAATATATTATATTTCAAACATCCCAAGTCTCTGAAAGTGTGTACAGGCAAGGTACCTTTTCTTATACTTTCATTATTGTTTGTAGTATTTATTTGTTCTATGCTGATGGTGAAGATACTGTGAGATCTTGAACTACTTTGGTTCATCAGAGTTGCTCCAATAACCCTGTTTTTAGATCCAATACTCAGAAACTGTTCACATTCTCCTGCGTTGTGTACCGCATGAGATGTCAACCCTAAAAAACATTCATTTTTCAAGGTTCCTCAATTTAGGAGGGTTTTTGTTTATTTATTGTGATATGATCAATAATAAGATTATATTGAAAAATTAACTCACCTGGAACCGTAACACCTTCATTGGGAGATTCCTTCAAAGTTAGGGGAGTGCTGGTTAATTTATCATTTGGCAACAGTAAGTCTCTGCGAAAACAAAGTTTCTATAGTAATACGTATTTGATATGATTTTTTGAATGAAATTCATATGTGTTACCAAGATATACTTTGAGAATGTTTTTTGTCGTTGTAATTTAAATTGGAAATGCACTTTTTTATGTTAGTACAATTTATCTCATTCCCTCCCCATTGATATTTTTCATAACGCCACGACCGTCTGATTTTGAGAGAGATTTCTGGTACTAAAAATCATCTTTATTTTACTTTTATGCTAAGCGATGAGGCTTAAAGCATGCATGCATTCTAAGGGAATTCTCTATCCCCACCCCAAAATGGCTGGGAGAGAGTAGTGAAGAAAGTATGTGATGTTGGGTTTATAAATGAATGTATAGAGGTAATTGAGGAAATACCTTTTCTATTTGTTCATAGTACATGTTTTCATAAAGATAGACAAGCACTACAATAAAATTATCTAGGCGAATTTCTTTCTCAAAATTGAAAAACGTGTGATGATGTAGCTGTAGTTTTTGTATCTTTTCTTACCTTATTTGTTCATTGTAGATTTCTAGATAGCTCACTAAAGCTAAATATTTAACCCCACTCGTGACTGAAATGGCCTCGAAAATATGTTCGAAAGCTCTGGAAATAATTCCTTTCTGTGATCCGTCGTCCGACTTGATCCCTTCCATCGTAAAGGATTTTCCGCATCCAGTTTGGCCATAAACGAAGATTGTGGCATTGTATCCTTCCAATACACTCTGAAATGAAAGTAATTAAATTATAAGTGTTTTAGAAAAGTCGAGGTGAGACTCCAAAAAATCAATGACGGTTGCTATATGCAGGCTATATGCATAATAAACATTTTCATTCAACGCAGAAAGATTGGTAAACAAGATAAATTAATTTTTCAAACAGTTCAGTGCATGGTGTTAAAGAAATATAGTTATTTTAACTACTTCCAGCTCTGCTTCGATAAAATTCTATTTAAGTACTAACACTTCAGATAATCCTGTCATGAGCAAGATTGAATTCAATAAGTTTTCTTTGCGAAACATTACATAACTGAATATCATGTTAGTTTAACGACAGTGAAACTACGCGTTTTTTGGAGTTATATTCGATGGAAAAGGTGTTATATGATCCAAGTTTGAAGGAATAGTTCCATACTAACCAAGTTTGACCTAACATATTTCTTCGCTGTATCCATTCTCTAACCCAAAAACGTCTTTTTTTTCGTTTTCTTGTAATTGTGTCCTGTAAGCACTCCATCTTTTTTGCTAAGATAGTAGCATAAAACGAACTTAGAACAGCACAACTTTCAACAACTAGATCATTCATGATCGATGTTTCGATGGTGACTAGTCGAAACGCGAGGCGTGAACGGCACGAACCCCCCAACCGTGTGAACGTTTTATAAATTCACACTTTCGTGAGTGTCACGAAAGAAAGTTGACTAGCGTGGTTAACTGTCGTGATTAACGCCTCGTGGGAACGCCGCTTTATATTGTACTTGTAATGCACTGTTTGGAACCTTTGATGTAGAAATGAATATTACTGGAGTTTTTCACAACACCAAACCGTTACCTCAACACGTGTTCCGATCACCAAGTGACCATCTTCAAGAGGAAGATCACACAGTTTGATCTCCGTCTTGGAGATGATCATTTGGTGATCGAAACACCTGCCGAGGTGTTGAAATAACGATTTGATTTTGGGAAAAAACTTCAGTAATATGTACTATATTGTATTAAACATATATTACGTCAGTAAAATACTGAAGTAGGTAATATACGAAGTAATATTATTATGTACTATATTCATCGAATTTTTATCCGAACGAATCAGTCCACTTCTAATAAGTTAATTTTACTCAATGAACAAAACAAGTACCGACAAATAATGTTATTATAATTTTTTTACAGATTGAGGATTCAATATTGGTGCATTCTTCAAATAACTTATCAATCATGTAAGGCTTAGGCACTAGGAGAAATAGAGATAAAGGAAGAAAATGGGAATGTAGTTCGGCTAAAAAAAGAAATTTTTTATTTCTTTTTCTAAAGTAAAGTGAGTGAAAAGCCGCAGTGTCAGTTACTTTCACTGGGGTTTCAATACGGCAATGTCGCTTTTTTATTTGGGGTATAGTGAAGGACTATACGAATGTTTACATTGACCAGAAAAGAATAATACCTAAGGCCTTTATTCAATATGAATTACAGGGACAGTTGCCGATGTTAAAAACCTCTTAATACAAAAATACTATTATATAGTTACCAAAACTTCTTGAAAGACGATCTCTCAAAAAACTCTAACAATATTTAATATCTTGTTTGTAATTTTTTTTTAAATACCGATTCAAACATATATTGCTTGCTAATTTTTTTTCGTGTGTTTTTAATACTGTCAGTAAGAGATTATATATAACTTTAGGACTAATATGTTCCCACCTAGTACACCGTCCAAATTGAATGGTGCTATGAGAATTATATTGTTCACCTGAAAAGTGCAAGGAACTACAAAGTGTTTCTGAACAGAAAATTGTTTTTTTTTCTTTTTGGTGGTTTCAATATCGATATGCTAGTGGGATCTGAATTCAGTACTTCCTTGAAAGATATATACAGCTCAAATTTAACTTGGGTAATAAAGACATCCCTACTAGAGAAGTCAGTAATGAGTCAACCCCAATTTACATTCTGAAACTTTCATAATCAATAGCAGAATCAGATACAACAAATTAATAGTAATTGACATATTCACCTGAGAACAAATAAAAATAAAAAAACAATTCACGAAAAACATAAATCGAAAACCAAACCTCATTTTGTTTTGATTATCATTTAATCTTGGTTTACCACATATTCCAAGTGTATCACGTTTAGTTAATAAATATTATCTTATATATTTTATCTTATATAGTATAATGTAGAAGTAATCAAATTTAAGCATTAGATGATTTGAAATAACATATATGTATAAGTATTATTATATATTGTCACATTTTGTTTTTGGGTACTCGAATATTGTAATTTGAAAGTTTTACTTTTCAAATGAAGAAAAAAAATCATTAAGACGATATTTCCCTTATTCAATTCGCCACTGTACTATCAAATGTGCATCTCTTCGCAATTATCCGGAACGATTGCTTGTCAAATAATTTCTTTGCCGATTATATTTTGTTGTCTCTGACTGTATTTTTTTTTCTCAATGTTCCGCAAAACCTTGTTACTGGAATTTTCAGTATATGTGTCGTCTAGAGTGTACGAGAAGGAATTCCAGAAAAGCACTAGTGTGTACGAGTATATAAGAGGTGTCAGAGATATTCAAATTATATAAGGTATGAAGGCATGAGACATGAGACTAGGAAAAATAATTTTTTTTCCATCAATGATTAGATGTTTCAAACTTATCTCTTTGATTTGCTTGTTGTTTATTGGACTTGTTGACATTGGGGTTGCTTTCATGTTGAAAAGGTTCTTTTTTGTTTTTCTGGTAGTCAATTGCTTATAATAATATTGGATTTCTGAAATTTCCTGATCTTCTGGTTTTTTTCTTACTGTAATGGTACTTATTAGTCACAAATTTTCATGTGTTCTGCCAGCTTACTATCAAAGTTTATGATTTTCTTTGACCCGAATGATTTCATCAGAAAACCATTTTTTAGAAATATTGATAATCCATTCTCACAATATATTTGGATTTGTATACCTATGATTTTTTTTTAAACCTCTAGTTCGGTTTTCGATTTATCTTTTTCGTGTGAATTGTTTTTTCTCAGGTGAATATGTCAATTACTATTAATTTGTGGTATCTGATTCTGCTATTGATTATGAAAGTTTCAGAATGTAAATTGGGGTTGACTCATTATTGACTTCTATAGTAGGGATGTCTTTATCGCCCAAGTTAAATTTGAGTTGTATATGTCTTTCAAAAGTACTGAATTCAGATCCCACTAGCATATCGATATTGAAGTATTCAAAAAGAAAAAAAACACTTTTCTGTTCAGAAACATTTTATAGTTCCTTGCACTCCACATAGCATCATTCAATTTGGACGGTTTACTAGGTGGGAAACCTTGAGGGAATTCTAGGACTTGAAATCCAGATTTTTCCGTGCGATACCGCAAGTTCAGATCGCTTTTCGGAATCAACTACCATGATATGTTTCTTTTTAGAGTCAGCCAACAACATTTACAATTTTCAAGTAAATTGCATTTGAAAGAGTGGTTTGAGAAACACGTCAACTACGTGTTAAGTCAATTAGAATTGAATACAATGAAAGAGTAGGTTAGGTATATATACATACATACATAATTCAAACACAATTTTAATCCAGATTCAGATATTCCCAAAGTAACTAGAAATGGGTACCATTTAATCATATAAAACATTTATATAAATAACCTCTAACAGTCAATTGAAAGCCTAAACAATGACAGCAGTAGTTTCAATCAAATGCTAATGGGTTGTTGTTTTATTGATCTATGCCTCTTCAATCGATAAACCTGTTTGTTCGGAACTAATATATCACACGGATGTCAAAATAAAATGAGGAAAAAAGCATGGAATCCAATAATTTCGGAAATCGATGCGTAACCGGTAGTTTAGTGAATTTACTTCCATTTTCTCTATACAGTTAAATGATTTCCTAAGTTTCATACTGTATTCAATCATTATTCAGCATAATTTATGTGAATTTATGTCAAATCTGAGAATAACTTAGCAAAAGTAACATTCGTTCGTAGCTTTCGTGTTCACATAAATAAGTTTTCAAAATATGTTCGAAATTATTATTTATGCTAGAAATATTTACAGTTTTGTAAAAGAATATTATAGACATATAAATTATTATAGTGCGCAAGATAAATTATCGTAAAGGATAAAACATTAGTAACTTCAGCACCATGACCAGTCTCACAAATATAACGAACACTAACTAGAGGTTTACCAACTTCTTGATGAAACTTTGTTTGAGCCGGTTGTGGATGATATTGGCAAAAAAAAAGTTTTATTGAGCAAACGAAAGTATTTTTGAAGACATTATTATGATATTCCGAACATTTTTACTCCTTTTTTTTTCTTTTTTCGGCATTGCTCATTCTCTTCTATCCCGTTTCTCACAATTCCAGTCGCGGGTTCGTAGAATTATAGACTCGTCCAATTATCAATCCAAGAGTTTGAACTTTCGCTGCTTCTTCTATCTCCATACAAAAATCTTCGGGCGGTTCGACGTGCGTGCTTTGTTCACTCAGTCAATCGGCAGATGTGTGGGTCGATGGTTCAAGCCCCAGGCTGAACGCTCGATTTTCACTTGCTATCGCCCAACCCGTGTTAGGCATCACACGTTAAAAGGTAAGACCTCGTTAGTCCTTAGCTTGCACAAGTTTCGGCTTCTAAGGCTTGTCGTTCGTAGAGGTGCGATAGTTAGTTACCAGGAAGAAAAAACAAAAAAATACATGTGAAAATTGTTTTTACTCACTTCGGTAAGAGGATAACAAATATCGTTATAAATAACTTCTGTGTTTGAATCTTGATCGTAGGTGGAGTCGAATGTGAATTGCTTGGGAAAGGACGGACCTTCGTTTGGATCCCACGTTTCTACGACACAGTTTCGTATCTTCACAACACACTGAAAAATAAAAAAGAAACAGTATTATTTCAAAATTGATCTGGTGTTGATACCGAATATATTCGCTTTACCTATCAATGTAGGCAGATACTCAGAAAAATTAAGGGAGGAAAAAATCCAAATTTTATGATTTTTGACTGTATTTCAGTGAAATATGATCGCATTTTGAGAGTTCTAGAAGGCATTTTGTAGCTTTGAAATTCTAATTTTCAAAATTTTCAGCTACATTTTTTAAAAGCTACGGTTGCATGCGATTCTAACACATAACGTGAAAAAATAATTTTACATCTGTTTGCTATTTGTTTTTGGTCCAGGGGATTGAAAAAGGTTTTTTCAATTGGATCAGATAGCCTGTTTATTTATCATTAATTTCTTCTCTTCTGAACACCCTTTATTTTCATTCAATATTAAAACTATTTTCTCTCTAATTTACAGAAATTTATCAATATATAAATAACAAAAAACTGCTTTATATCACGATAAAATGGTTTTACCACCCGCATTTTGTTTTTTTTTTTCATAGCAATATATTCTATTCTGTTGAAATGACCATATACTGTTGATATCGCCCTATAATAATTACTAAAACCTGGTTCATGATTTACCCCGCCCCCGGGTTGAGAACTTGTATACGCCATTTTTATTAATAACAAATGTGTAAGTACATGTTTGAGTTTATATAATTCGATGTATTAAATTCTTCTAGTATTATATAATTCAGTCAAAATTTTGTTCCGATCGTTAAATACGAAATAATAGAATGGCTACACTTCTTCTTTTCCATTTTATCTCGACGTTGTGTTTTTATTTTGCCTTTCAACAACCCAATAAGTTAAAAAGTATAACAAAATGAAATTTTCTCGCTCTTTTTTATGGACAGAGGATTAAGAATCCATTAGGAAAACGTGCCAACAATGCCAACAACCATTGTTTCAATCCCAGGAAGATAATGAACAAGTCTTTTTCGTAAGTATTTCCTAATCTCAATAAACAATGAAAGTGACCGTCGATCAACAATGTCGAAAAAAGTAGAATCAGTTAATGTGTAGATAATATACTTATTGTAAGTATCTAACCACTTCGTTTAACAAGATGAGGCACTTTCAACTGTTCAAACTGTAATTCCATTCGATGATTTACTTGCCTTGCAATTGAGGTCGATTTCTCTTCTGTTCATAGGACGACATCTTACTATGACTTTGACGTTTTCTGCCATAACAAATTGATCGATCCCGTTTCCTCAGACCATCTGAAAAGAAAACAAACTTATAACATTATAAAACTTCGTTTAATAAATACACTATTACATATTTTATTTCAAGATTTTTTTCATGTTAATTTCTTTTTCCTTAACACGTTATTTATTTTTATTGATAAATGTTCAAAGGCCAAAGTGTTTTACGTAAATTTTCATTCAGTATAGATAAAAGAATGCTTGGACATAGTCGATATAGCTGAATAAGTAAAATAATGGTACAAATTACAAACTTTGAATAGTGTGTCTTTGCCACTATTAATGTCTATTGTTTTAGTTCATTGTTGTCAGAATGAACTTTTCGAGTATCTACTTTAGGTCATGATTTGAGCCAATTAGCCTTAGCAATGAAGCGGAGAAAGAGAAGAGGGGATAAGTGAAAGCTCTCGAATGGTCTATAAATAGTCGGATCTCGGAGGAATAAGTCCAGCCATCCGCGAGTTAAACACAAACAAAAAAGTGCACATTGTCCTATTAGACATCTCGATGGCCTTCGAGCGTGTTTGGCACGAAGGTCTTCTGCACAAATTAAATGCGTTCGACCTGCCTCAGGGCCTCGTCCGGTGGATCGGGTCCTTCCTGAAAGACGGGACATTTCAGGTTAGAGTAGAGGGATCTCTGTCTGATAACAGAGAGATCCTTGCTGGAGTGCCACAGGGGGCCGTGCTCTCTCCGACGTTGTACTCACTTTACACCAGTGACCTCCCGAGGCCCGAGCGTGTGAAGATATCTCTTTACGCCGATGACACGGCTCTCCTCTCATCTTCCATGGGTCGGGAGCTCGGTGTCGTCTACATGCAACGTGCATTGGACGACCTCGAACGCTGGTACCTTGATTGGAAGATCTAAGTGAACCCGGATAAGACTCAGGCAATAACCATGGGAAGACTGAAATCTTCTCCGGCCAGAAAAGTGAGAATCTCTGGAAGGGAGATTAACTGGCAAGCGCGGGTAAAGTACCTCGGCCTTCTAATAGACCGTAGGTTCATTTGGAACCCGCACATAACGTGCGTCAAATCAAAGATCGAGGGTCGGATAGCACGTCTGTACCCTCTGATAAACAGAAAATAAAAAATGAGTCTAAAAAACAAAATCACCATCTATAATACGATGTTCAAGTCTGTCATCATGTATGCTTCAGGCGTCTGGGGACAAGCGGCTCCGTCCAACATTTCCATTCTGGAAAGGTTGCAAAACAAGCTAATAAGGATGATTGTGAATGCTCCTTGGTTCGTGCGGAATGAAGCCATCCGCAGAGATTTGCAGCTGCCTTCCATTCGGCAGTTCATCCAGTCGGGAAATCAGAGAGTTTTCGATGGTGCAGAAACTCATGAAAACCCATTTAGTCAGGGAAGCTATGGATTATACTGTAGACGACCCCTCCCGATATAGAAGGCCCCGACACTCTGTCGAATGAGGCCCCTATATCTTCCGCTGAAAGATGAACAACGTTTTCATCCAATTCACCCCAGCCAGGCAGGGGTACATCGTGAAAGGCGGTACTGATGTCTGAGGACATTCATGCCGCCATATCATTAACACCCACATCAGTCATGACCCGTTTGTTCTTCTGGCAAACATCAGTTCAAAGGGTAAGGGAGCCAGCTCCAACCTGACTAAATTGAAGATGACTTTTGCCGAATAAGTCCAGTTATCACCCGAAGACGATCGGGTGATAACATGACATAACTTGGTTTGAAATCTTTTAATTTTTATTTTTCATTTTTTGTTAAAAATAATTTTTAATTTTCAGCTTTTATTAATATTTCAATTTTTATTTTTTGTTTGTTTTTTGGTTTTATGTTATTTCTTTGTAATTTCAGTTCGAACTGATGAAATATACTACGAAACATTGTCAACCACCTTCAAACAATTAGTTTGTGTTAAAATTGTTACTTCAGTCAATGAGGTATACAGACGAGAATATATTGCTTGGAAATTGCATATCCATCAATCGACTTGGGAGGTCAAAAGGCAACCTTGTCAAGAAGGTAAGAGATGTACAACGCCAAGAGATGACCAATATTTGAAAATTCAATATTTGCTAAATCGCACGCTTACAGCTCCGCATCTCAGAAATGATTTACTGAGCACAAGACAAGTTACCATAAGTGTCAAAAAGTAATAAGATGACTCAAAGAAGTTGGTTTAAATCCAAAACGCCGTACCAGAGTTCCTAGGCTTCTCCCACGTCACAAGTCTAGACGGTTACAATTTGCCATATCCTATGTCAACTGGAATGAACATCAGTGGGGAAAATTCTTTTCACAAATGAAACAAGAATACAGTTGTGGAAACCAGATGGACGTGGTCGAGTATACAGAAGATCTGGAGAACGTTTCGCAGGATGTAATCTTGTACATAACGTTAGCTTTGGTGGTAGTTCCATTATATTGTGGAGTTGCATTAGTTGGAACAGTCGCACCGAGCTTATAGAGGTGAATTTAAGAATCATTGCTAACTGTTACATACACAACATCCTTGAAGAGCATGTTTTACCTTACGGCGGCTTCATTTGCTACGACCATTTCGTGTCAATGCATGATAATGTTCGTGCACATGCTGCAAGAACGGTCACCCAGTATCTTGAAGTTGTTGGACTTGAGGCAGTGGAGTGGCCACGAAACAGTCCTGACGCAAATCCCATAGCACATATTTGGAACATTTTAAAAAGACATATACGAGCACGAAATCCAGCTCCTAACTCAATTGCAGAATCAAGAATTGCTGCACAGGAAGAATGGAATCAAACTCCATAAGAAACCATCAAATACTTTTGCGGATTATGTCCAGGAGGATGTAGGCTATCGTTAGAGATAAGGGAGGAAACACTAAGTACTGAACTGTTAATATTTTGTGGCAAAGAACTTTCATTTTTTCGTCATTGTTGCTTGTTCTGATTAAATATTATTACCAAAACTGATCTATTCCATTACTTCTTCTACAAGTGTGTTTTAATCAATATCTGGATTATATACTTCAGCATATACCATTTAGCAACAAAAACTGCTTAAAGATTCAGACAAATAGAAGTAAACATGAAATCAAGACTTGAAATAAAATATGCAATATTTTTGTCAGTGAGTGTATTCCACAAAAAAAGTTGATTTGCACTATTTGATGAAACTAAGTGGCTAAATGAAGAAAAGTGAAAAACCTACCAGAAAAAGTTGTCTGATTTAGTATCAGTAAAAGAAAGTGAAAAACATTATATAGATGAGGAAACTATCATAGAAATGATCGAACTAAAGCTCTTAAACAAATGAAAAGAAGGAGTACAGTATATTCGTGGACTGTTGAAAAAAAGAGGTGAATGTTCAAATTTCGCCAGCTACGTACATTCGATTAGCAATTTTTTTATGTTGGTACACTCGAACATATGTTTTTGTTGCGTGTTCGGCGATTTTCTGTTATCGAAAATATTGATCAAGAATTTGCATCAAATTTTGGGTAAAAAATGGAATTGAGTGCTCAAAAAACACTTGAAATGTTGACAGTGGCATACGGTGATTGTACCCCGAGTCAGTTGTACCATATACATGTGATGCAAGCTTTTCACAGAAGGTCGAGAAGATGTGAACGATAACGCTCGCCCTGGACGTCCAAGCACATTAAAACCCGATGAAAATGTTGAGAAAGTGAAAAAAATCGTTATGTTTCTTGCCGATTTCTGTCGAATTCTGTATCGTCGAGACAGAATAATTCGGAACTTCGATTATTTCGGACAAGCGACTTCGTAACATGCGATAGTAAACAAAGGAAATAAGTACGATAATTATTATAAAGTATAGTTGAGAAACAGTTCTCAGTTTTGATTTTGGATTATTAAAAAAAAAGTTGAAAAAATTGAATAAGCAAAAATCGACACATATATGATAGCAATAGTTTGCAACAATACTTTTCAGTTTACCTAAATAAGATATTTGAACTGTATTTAAATCTACGGTATTGCAAGTCTTTCAGACACATGACTGTTTCAATCAATTATCATCTTTTCAACAAATCTATAAACCCAACACTCCAATGCTTAAGTATATTATTTTTTATTTACTCAATATATGACGCTACATTATATGTGTTTCCGTTTTCATTTACTAATATACTATACAAAAGTTTATTTGAAGGTTATTGACAATGTTTCATGATGAATTTCATTAGTTCGGACTTCCATTGTCTAATATAATATAAAATGATTTAAAATCCCTAAAAGAATTAAAAATGAATAGCTGAAAATAACAATTATATCAAGCAAAAACCTCCGAAATGAAATAATATTGAAATAAAATACAATTAAAAATAGACGAATTGAACAAAAAATTAAAATAAAAAGAGATTCCAAGCCAAGTTACTTCACGACGCGACGTTTCGATTGTTAGTATCCACAATCGTCTTCGGGTGATGACTGGACTGATTCCTCCGAGAGATGACTATTTATGGGTCATTCGAGTACTTTCGCATATCTCCGCTTTTTTTTTCGCTCGATGATGGGTTTCCATATGTTGCGTATCTCTACGCTGCTAACTTGGCTGAATACGTTGTTGGACAACATGTATGCGGCTTCTTTGAATTTCCTCCTAAACCAATGTTCTTCTCTGTGTATGATCTCAGCTTGGGACCACTCGATAATATGTATCCGGTATCCGGTAAATGCAATTCTTGGAATCGCAGTCCGCGTTTGGTGGCCTGGTTTTCGTGAGGCTGCTACGGATAGCGTTTCTGGATTTAAAGCAGGTTCTGATGTTGTAATTGGAACCAATTTTTCTTATCCTTTCCGATAATCCTCTGATGTAGGGAAGTGTGAACTAATGAAATTCATACTATACAAGAGTCTAACGGAAGCAAGTATGAAAAAATGTTAGTTGAAAATGAAATAAATTTTAGCATGCATGTTTCCGAATTTGAATAATGGCTGGTGCTAAACTTTATTATTTTTACATTTCTTATTAATGTTGGAAGGACATTATTTCGGTCACTAGCCCATTTGGAAGATTATC